TATGCCGGTTGGATGATATAAATACCAATCCGCAGAAAGATTCTCTTGCTTTCTAATTGTTTCACTAATTACACAAATAGATATTGCTCTAGCAATATTTTAAGCAATTCATCATGTAAAAAATGTATAGTAAAATTAAAAAAAAAAAAAAGTCTGCTGCTTAAATTATTACAGAATAAGTAGTGCAATCTCCTCAACTCTGTTTTCCTCCAGAGATTGGACCTAATTTCCTAAATTAGGTCCAAATCAAAAGGTCTTGTTCAAGAGCTGAAGAAAGAAAATATTTTAGTAAATTTTTCCTGTCTTTTATTACACTCCAAAGTCTACAGATATACATTTCCAGTAATTAGTACAATAAGGGCAAATGGAACAAAAATACTTTATTAAATAATGAGATACGATTTAATGTCTTTTCTATCTGCTTATTGAGATGTACAGTTTTTCTGAATCACAGTGACCGTGAAAAAGTTGATCTGCATTAACAAACTTTGTGAAAATGAAAGAAAATGCAGTCTTAAAAAACAACATCTTGCAAAACAACAAAAAGTGACAAATAAATTTTGAACGGATCCTAAAAATATGCCTTTCTGTGAAACATAATCAAGGTTTAGTGTGAACACACTTGGATAGAATGTGCTGAAAAAGAATTTAAGTAGAATACGTATCTACTGCGTAAGCAGTTTAATGAGTCTTTAAGCCTTGTTGATCTGGCTTGGGAAAAATACACCATCAGACTCTATCATCAGGTACAGAAGTGGAGCACGCTAATCCTGGAAAAGAAGCCTTTATACTAAGACTGGTTTGAATTTTACAGAAACTTTGTGGACTGCTTAAGTGCTAAATGATCTTTCTCCAAAGGAAAAAGATGGTTGTAACTAGGATACAGGTTTACATCATTTTAATGACAATGTTTACAGGTAAACATTTTCTTTTTGTAAAATTATATGTGCACTTAGACTGTATTGAACATGTAATAACTACCCAGACTGCTTGCTTGATATTTATATAGTGTCAAGGAAATGCAGAAGACTAAACTAACTAAAGGTGTTTCAAAAGTGTAACTTGGATAAAACTTTTATAACTGTTTAATCAAAATTTAAATTAGTGGCATTCAGCAGAATTACGCTTGAATAACTGCTTTTGTCATTCTGCTTCTGCAGAAAACCTGTGCTGCTAAATTTGAAACAGATAGTTTTATTAGGAGGTTTACAGTTAGAAAATAGCTACCCTATAGTAATAATGTGTAAGTGAACGAAGGAGACAGATATGACTAGTGTTATCAAACTGAGTTAAAAGGAGCTGTTTCATGTCTGTTTTGAGTAAAACTTCACAGAAGGAAAAAGTAATTATGTATAGAAAGAAAAATATTTGCATTATCTGAAATTTTAGGAAGGTGCATAATATATTTAGAGGAGAGAATGCCGAATGATTTCACTTTACTTTTTATGTTAAAAACACAAAAATGTTTAGCTGAGTAATGCATGTAACCTCTGAAAAGAAAATAATCGTTCCCCTTGCACTTTCTTTTGGTATGGTCTTACATTTTTTAGGAATACCTTTTTATTACATGTTAAACTTCTCCTCCAATCTGAGCTATTTGAACTGCTTATACAGTTCTATAAATATTGACTAATCCTTTTATATAGAGTGCTTTTATCTTGAGTGACAGCGGTTGCTGCTTGTATAGCAATTGGCAGATAACAAGCAATATCCACAATGTTTGTAAGAACAACTGATTTGTTTATTTTTTATAAAGTGGCTTATTATTTGTCATTTGCTGTGACCTATAGTTATGTTTGCACTAATCTTATTATGAAATAGTAGGCATATAGATGTAAGCCTATGTGTATGTATATATATATATACAATTCTGCAATATAATTATTTTGCAACTATTAACATTACCTAAAAAATAAGCATTGAATAAGCATTGTGTTCACACAGAAATGCTTATGAAATGACATGTATTTAAGTGGCTCTATGATAGTCACTTTGCATTTAATAACTGACATTAATTTTATATAGGCAAGAAATACTCCAACAATAATACATGTAGCTCCTCATAAAACTGATTTTATTTCTTTGTTAACCACCGATGTTTTTATTATCATATGTGTTATCTAAATTTAAAGCTAGAAACATATGATTTCCAAAGTAGTTTAGCATTCTCATGAAATCATTCCATTAATTTGATGATGTAGAGAACATGATTATAAAGGTGGGTTCAGTTTATGCATCTGTTTCACCCTTTCCAGAGCTGAGTCACTATTTCTAGGTGTGACTCAGAGCAAAAGCTACATGGCAAAGGCCTCACAGGTGCTATGGGACAATAAACTAATATACACAGTCATCACACATTACTGAAAATGCAAAAGTATCTAACCTTTCACTGTGCTGATTTTTTTCTATGAAAGGTTTTATAGGGGCTTCAAGTCTATAAATCCTTAAGCATGCTCTGACCACTCTGAAGCCCTAGGACAAAGCTAAGTACATTCCTGATCCTACTGCTTCTAGGCTGCAGTAATTTTTCTCTCTGACACAAAAACCCAGGGAGACCTGCATTTCTACAGCTGTCACATCAAGACTGAGTTATATACAAGACACGTGGACATATTGTTCTCAATGTCAAAGCAGGGAAGGGAGCAATATCAGGCAGGAGATGTACTAAAACATTGACCAAAAGAGGAAACAGCTCACGGTAACTTCACTTTTCATATACTAGAACAGCAAAAGCAGGACAAGTGGCTCACATAGAAATTGCCACAAACTGGGCAAAGCAGACATTGTTCTGGCCCCCAGTCAGTAATGGTTTGGGAGGTACACTTCACTTTGAGAAAGTCACTCCCAATGAGTCATGTTTCTGCCAGATGCCACTACACATTAAGGTATACATAGACATCTCACACTGGAATAAATATGAGCCTGGCTGGAAAACAGAGAGAGGCTGCTGCTGTAAAACTCCACTGCCAGACCAGGGAGATAGCACTAGCTGTGTTTGATAATCTGAAGCTTCAAGTGAAAACTATATACTATAATTGAAGACTGATGAGAGGAGGATCACTGTGGAGAGAGCTTTTTATATACATTCTATGTCCACGTCACTCTGTCTAATCTTTCAAACAAATCTCAACCAATTCTCAGTTCCCTTCTGGCTCTCCTGTAATTTACCGCTCTCTGAGCTGCATCGAGTTACAACTGTGATTGAATAAAGTGGACAGGCAAGGAATTAGCCTGAGTAGCTACATTTATCTGCTGCTATTTGAACCAATTCATTGTGGCTGAATGCTGCTCTGTAATTTTCCATGAAAAATGGCTGCATTTTGCTGTAAAAACAAAGCTTGGTGAGAATTTGTATGTAAAACTATGTGTGGTGCCTGCAACTCTGTGAGTCTCAGCATACCTCATTATCTAATTTACAGGCAACAGTTTTGCTGTGGGGACAGACATAAATATCTCTAACCACTTTGTGCTGATAATACTAGTTTGAAAACTAACTGCAAAGTATTTTTCTCTAGAATAACTATAAAGTGGAAGTACTAGGACTTGCACTTAGCATGACTTTTCAAAACTGTATTGGATATTTTGACTGCTTCCAAGGGACATATAAGAAGCAAATGTTCCTTGATCCATTGCATACATATCAGTCACTTGATTGCTCAAGGGAGAAGTTACTATAATTATCACTTTATAGATGAACAACAGTGCAGAGGGATAATCAGATTAGTTTTACAAGAGGAACAGATTTGTTTTTCATCGTGAAGTTTGATCCAGAAGACATAGTTAGGTAACATCTATCAGATTACAGTGAAATTGAGATGAGGAGTTCTTCTTTTACCCAATATACCAGAAGCCAAGCGTTGTATGGAAGAAGAGGAAATATGAGTCTGTATTGCCCATCTTCTATGGAAGTGCTCTCAACACCAAGCTCGGAGATGTTTGAGAAAATATTGCTTTCATCTTTTCTTGCTTTATATATTATATATAGGAGAGGTAAAGAAAGTATCCACTGTAGATACATGGTACCAGGAATATTTTACTGGGACATACAGGTTCAAATCCCTCCAACAGCTTCTCTCACATCCACACATCCCAGGCGAATTCTCCTCACCATATGACCATGGCTGATGAACCCCAAGTCACTGCCGCCTTGTTTTTGGAAGAACTGAGATCCATTGTTTATTTGTGAATAACTCCAGTATGCCCCTAATCCTGAAATGTGGCAACTGCCCACTTGTTACAGACGGAGTGCATCTCACTACATCTTGCCCAGACAACAAATAGGATGCAGGTTTAATCTCTTCTTTGGATTTCACTGTCACACTGTGCAGCTCCCTGCTCACTCTGTGAATTTTATTCTTCAGATAGCCAGCTCACTGTACATACATTTTGCAGGGATGTTCACCTACTTGTCAGTCTGTCACACTATATCATACAGTACTTCTAAATCCTGTGGCTCTGACTTGAATATTGTGGCTCCCAGATGTTTCATATAGAAACAGGAATACTAGTCTGTAATTCTTCTACTGTTTGAATGTGAAAGAGAGGAAAGACCAGCAGACTGTACTCCAGCTCATCAACATGCTATATTATGAATATGAATTAAGCAACAATCCTTGACTTTTTATATGTGATAAATAATTCAGTTCCTCTCAAAGCATTCTACGCTTCTACCACAGAATAGGTGGGAAACAATTACTTGATCACATGTTTTGGAGGTGATATTTATCTCAATTTCATCACATTATCCACATCAAAACTGTCAATTTGTTTGGTTCATTTATCCAAAATGTGATTGTTACTGATACATAATACTTTGCACAAGAATATCATGTCATATGAATGGTATTTTTATATTTAACATATTTTAGACTTGTGAGTCAATCATCACTTATGAAGACATTCCCCTCTAATTAAAGATAATGAAACACATGCTATTAAAAATGTCATTTTGGACTCCAGTTATCTAATAAAGCATGTCTAATTCTTTGTTTATTCTTCAGGTACTCACTGTGATGAAGACATCAATGAATGTTACACGAACCCTTGCCAAAATGGTGGAATCTGTGAGAATTTTCCTGGGAATTACACTTGCCATTGCCCACCTGCAGACAAAGAAGGGATTTATTACGGTGGCTGGAATTGTACAGAAGTTCTCCATGGCTGTACTGATCAACAATGCCAAAACAATGGAATATGTATCCCACATTTAAAAAATGGCCAACATGGATTCAGATGCATATGTTCACCTGGGTATACTGGAACACACTGTGAAACCATAACCACGTTTTCTTTTCAAGGAAACAGTTTCCTTCTGTTGAAGAATCACCCGTCACCTAAAAAGGAATTTTTCTATAATATAATTCTGAAGTTTCAAACTGTGCAACCTACAGCTTTGCTGTTTTACCGAGGGGAAAAAAATACATTTGCGAAACTGGAGTTACTGAATGGCTACTTACACTTATCCGTGCAAGTTAATAACCAGCCACAGGCTCTTTTGCATATTTCACATAATGTCAGTGATGGAGAATGGCATTCAGTGGAGGTAACCTTGGCAAGAGCTGTTACTCTTAATTTGCTTGACAGCTCTTGTGTAGAATCGTGTCTCAATAAAACATCTGTTATGATAGATCACGATCACGTGATGCTTGCATTTCAGAGCACATTTTTGGGTGGCTTACCAGTGGGGAACATTAGCAGCAACTCTCTACTTAACGTCTATAATATACATTCTGCACCTTCATTTGTAGGCTGCCTTCAGGACATTGAAATAGACTTGAATGTTATTACTCCAGAGAATGTGTCACCTGAATCATCTTTAAATGTCAGGACAGGCTGTACTAAAGAGGACTGGTGTGAAACCCACCCTTGTCAGAACAGGGGACGCTGTACCAACCTGTGGCTGAGCTACCACTGTGATTGCTACCGGCCGTACACAGGGCCAAGCTGCACAACAGGTAAGGGAATGCTGTTGGCATTCATGTTTTAAGTGGTTGCAGAAAACAAGATCATAAACAATCTTGTTTACTGGTGATGAAATGGCATGACCCTTAGGATCTCTGGAGCTTAATGTCAACTGGTAAGAAAGTGCAAGAGGTTAGTAATAGCATGCATTTGTTATTTTCTAGTTAGTTTCTCAGGAAGGCTACTTTTCAGCCTGACAAAAAAAGTCAGGCTAAACTGGTGAATTCCACTCATCCAGTTTTAAAATCTTCTTAGTGCTCTTAGCACGCCATAAACTCTGGAAAACTGTAGTTCACTGAAGGTTATGCCCCCTAAATAGAATTTAGAAAGCAACCAAGTCACTTGGAGTTTAAGTCTTACTTTCAAAGTGTTCTTTGAAAAGTTTATCCTCAAGCTCTCTAGGCTTTTATAAAGAAACTCATTTAAGGCAATGAAAGGCAAGCAAAAGTACTGCAAGTTAAAAAAAGACAGATTCCAATTTTAAAAAATGAACAAGATTATACTATTAACTTAATCTGATTAGCCCAAGGGGGAAGGCAGGGTTTCAGAGGCTGGAAACAGGGTCCATTCATCTCTCAGCTGATCCCAGGGCAGCTCTGGAGAATCACTGCACTACCAGAGGGCTGCTTGGTGGCCAGAGGGAAACTTGTCCATATTTCAGCAAACAAAAGAGCACATCTCAGCAAACAACCTCTTTGGCAGTGACGAGCAGGCATACAAAAGCTGCAGATGCTCGTAGCACTTTCCCTGCTACAAATGATCTTTCCATAAGCAGGCTGAGGCAGAGTAGAAGGAGAATGGGAGGTCCTTGCCCAGCTCACTGCTGTAGTGCATCCGGTGTGTGAAACACTCTGGAGCTGTAAATGGAGCAACCCTCAGGAACATTTTGGGGTGGACTCCGCCATCCTACCATCCTATCCCAGGAAAAGTTTTAGGGATTTCAAAGAAGCAGTTTTGTTTAAGAAAATTTTACAGGACTGAGTCTTCCATGCAGTGCCCTTGCCCCTGCTTCCCTCTCTGCCCCCTTATTAACCATTCACACACAGTCAATTAGTAATATTTAGGGATGAAAAAATACATACGTACATACACACATATACATACATACATATATTTATGTATATGTATTTGCCAAGTAGACTGGAAAAAATGAAGTGCAACAACAGAGCCATGGCCAGATTGGAATGGACAGATCCTAAACTGGTGTAAACTGGCATGGTTGCACTGCTGCTAGTGAAGCTACATTGATTTACATCAGCTGAACAACTGGCCCCAGGGGTTTTGATGAATGCATTGCTGCAGAAAGCTGTAGCTTGAAATGCATTTCAAAATGTTTAAATACAATTTCATTTTGTATGCTATACTTAATAGTTATCAATACTTTTCAATAGTTTTTCTTTTTGGTTTTATTGCAAAATGACAAAGTCTGAGAGGTAATTGTAACAGACTTCTTTGAAGTCTAGCTGTAATTTATCCAAAGATTTGGAAAGCAACTTTGGAGTACAGGACAACATCTGGTAAATATGTTTGCCTCCTTATATGAAGTAAAATTAAAACCAGTCAGGGCCAGGAGAGGCTTATACTGGCATTAAAACTGTTGAGAATGATTAGAAAGCATGCTTTTTTTTCTTTTTCCTGCTGACCACAATATTCCTGCAAATCATGGCACCATGCCATTTTGATACATAGGTTCTAGATATATGCCATATTTAAAAGTCTGTGGCAGGTTTCTTAAAAGGCAGAGTGGGGGAGACTTGCGGTAAAGGATAACATAAGAAAAGCTAGTGTCTTTTTGAAGAAAAGTTGCTGCCAAGTATTTAATTGACAAGAGGCAATATTTTCTCTACATATACAAAATAACAAACAGATGTTGACTCATTTTGATCAACATCCAGATGTTGTGACTCAGGAGGTTAATATTGGCCAAGGTGATGCTAGTCATCTCATCAAACAAAAGATCAGATAGATGAATTATATATGTATATTTATAAATAGAGAAATGTAACAAAGTAGTTGTAAACATTAAATATCTTTTTGAAGATTGCTTCCTTCTAATACTGCAAATGTGTAATCCTCATTCCAGCAGAAATTTTTTTTACCCTCATGAAAAAATGTCTCATTCTCTAGTACCAACTTACAGAGAAGACATAACTTAATGAGTTTTAATGCCTCAAAACACCCATTTCAACAAATATTTATTTCTACGTACCATACTTTTAACAAGCAGATGTAGATATATAGGTAACATTATTAATAGAATTAAAATATTTCAAATATATTTATTAAATTGTCTGTTTAGGAATAAGTAAGGGATTTATTCCTGTTGCTAAACAATATTACCATGCCACATAGTAGTGCAGTGTGGTTATTAAGGGTCTATTGGGGCTTCACAGTCAGTCCCTATTTTCATTGGATTTTTAATGTAGTCATAAAAAAAAAAAAAAAAAAACTATGAGGGTCTTGCTCTAGGAGTTTTACTGCAGAAAAGAGGAATGTCTCTTTAGCTATGTGAGCATTTTAAAAAAACTTGGTTTATTCTTTCTATGAATCTGATATATTAAAAATAGCTCTTGAAAGTGTTTAAGAAGGAAGTCTATAATATTGAGGACAAGATCACAAAACTTAAAAGTGTAAAAATAGAAACACTTTGTTGTGCTTTAACGAGATGATTCATCAGAATAAAATACGGTTTAGGCTACATATTTTGTATCCTTACAAGTCTGAAAATCATTACTGAAAATAAAGACTAAGGGAGAGAGACAGATGGTTTTGGTTTAATCATTTTAATTGTTAAGCAAAAAAGAAAAAAAGAAAAAGGCCTACTCAATAATTTTTTTCCCCATGACACCATAGCATTATGGGCACTCACAAGACTGAGGAAGATTCATAACTGGATACAAGTTGATGCACATGAGCATGTACTGAACTCCAGCAACAGAAAGTCTGTCAGAGAACTGGGGAGGCCATGCGCCATCAAATAGCTGGAGGTTTTACACAAGGGGTTTGCTGAGCAGCTTTCGTCTATTTCTACAATTGGAATCAGTGCAAAAAATATCACGAAGTTCCGGAATTACATTAACTTCCATGGTCATCAGAGGATCAAAGCACCTAGGTTCTTTTCAAAATGATCTTTCTGAGGACCAATCCAGGAAACTGTAGAAATCTGTCCTTGTTTAACCATTTGAAAACACAACATTACACAGAGCATGATAAAGGGGAAAAATATGCCCAATAATATAACATCTGGTCCAGTACCAGAGTTTAATGCTACAGCCATGGAAGCCAACAGGAATTTTGAAATAGAAGCTATTTACAGCTGGATCAAGTCTTTATTCATCCATAAATACCAGCACATCTTACTGCCATACGTAAATATTACCAGAAGTAGCTATTTAATCATTACATTGTTTCCCTGTCATTTAGCCCTAACTATTTTATCTTTCTCCCTTCTCTTTCTTTTTTATCTTTTCCCATATTGCTAACCTCAAGAGTACATTCCAGGCCGGTTTGGATCTGAGGACTCCTCAGGCTACGCTGCTTTTTCTGTTGATGCCACTCAGAATGAAAATTTGAACATATCAATGTTTGTCCGAACACGCAAATCTTCTGGTTTGTTACTGGCTTTGAGAAACAGTACTTACCTCTATGTAAGAGTCTACTTGGAAGGTGGGAAACTCAAAATGTTAGTTTTAAATTCCATTAAGTTATTAGGGAAACACTCCATGAACGATGGAAACTTTCATTTAGTAACATTAAAAATAGAACCAAATAAGATGGAATTGTTCCAGTCTTCTCAATACCTAGGCTTTGTTTCTACTCCAGTACTACCCATCCAAAGTAGGGATATTCTTTACATTGGAGGCCTACCAGATAACAAAGAAACTGATAGAAATGGCAGGTATTTCAAAGGCTGCATCCAAGATGTAAGAGTGAATAACCAGCCACTGGAATTCTTCCCCATCACCGATCCACTGAATTCACTTATCAACCGAACCCTGATCAATGTCACCCAAGGCTGCACTGGTGACAACCTCTGCAAGGTAAGAATGACATTTTTCAGAGGACTTTCATATGTTTATAATGGGAAATTTCTTTTAATTTAATCCTTTATAATTTTTCATATGTTCCCATACATTATTTGATGATAATGACATCTTAGGAAAACATGTAAGAATGCTAGAAAGAGCAGATTTTGTTGAGTTATGCTATATATAATGAATTATCAGCTGCAAAATGTATTTGCATCAGGGAAAATTAAAACATTTTAAGATTGAAATACCGTTTTTCAGCAATTATTGAACATGCTGTGCTGTCATAGTACTGGTCTTTATAACTTTCCATCTGAAATAAACAGAAATCTTGTTTTTTGCCAAACAGCCCCCTATCCTTAGAGCTGGGAGCCCACCAGCTTTTATTCATACTTAGGTTGTCTCTTCTCTTTCCCCACAGTCCAACCCTTGCCACAACGGTGGTGTGTGCTATTCAATCTGGGATGACTTCACTTGCACGTGCCCCCCTAACACAGCAGGGAAGGCGTGTGAGGAAGTTAAGTGGTGTGAGCTTGGGCCCTGTCCTCATAAAGCACAATGCCAGCTGGTGCGCCAAGGATTTGAATGTAGGTACATTTCAGTTATTCCTATCATCTTTGGATATTAGCAACAATAGACATTTTCATCAGCATTTCCTTAAAACAATATTCACTGCCTTTAAAGTTCATTCTAATGTCATTTCTGTATTAAATAATAATTATGTCAGTTCTAAGTAACATTAACAGGAAGAGTCTGCCCTATAAAACCCAGAAATTTTTAAGCAGACCCCTTGACACAGACACCAACGTTTACAGGACCTTTGCTTTTGACTTATTCAGCACAGCTTGTTGAGGTTGTACAACAAATCAGTACATTGCCAGAGTGTGAGTGTACCCTTCATACTCTACTGCAAAGAGATAAGAGGATATCCAGTGCTGGATTAACCTTAGGATGTTCTCAATCCTCCTGAACAGACAAGATACATGACATACATTGCATCATTTGATTTTCTTAAATGTTAAATATCTTTTAAGAAAGTCACCTTAATACCAGCAGTACAGTTATTCAACTAGTATCTTCATAACAAGCACCTGCATGCCAATCAGTCTGTCTATTTGAAAACTGATGATCATTGACCATCTTAAGAACATTATCCACCCTGCATATCTCTTTCCTTGTCCTTCCCACCCTGGAGTGGAATTTAAAAAGCAAGTAAGGATTTTGAAGCAATATTTTTTCTGTTTGCTATTAAAGAAAGCGCTAACAATGATGTGAATGAAGATAAATACACAGTCTGATGGAAGCTGTTAGAATGACTGACTCTTAGGAATGAGAAGGTTGGTCAACAAAAGATTTCTATCATAGACAATTTGCTGACAGACAAATATGATGCTATTTTTGTTGAGATTGTTAGAATCAGCGTTGCAGCGCTTGTTAAAATTTATAACTGAAATTAAAATAATTGCACTTTCTCTAATAGACATCTTTAATGATAACATCAACATACTTTCATAAACTTTACTATTGCATATTATGGTAGAATATAAACACACAGAGACAGAGAAGTAAAAAGTATCTGAACTGTTTCCTTTTGTTAAACTCAAGGTCATTTACACTGTTAGATTTCTGTGCTTGTTTATGTGGCAATAGTAGGGAGTTTCCTTAATAGATAATCAAAAATTCCTGCACTACAGAGCTGTATTTTTAACTAGTTGTTTTCTTAGCTACAGCATAGACACACGGTATTGAAAAATACGAGTTTTACTGGCCAGGGAGTTCTCTGCCAACCTAGTCTTACCTTCTGGATAAGCCAAGGCAGAAAAAGAGCTGTTTCCCAGAGGCTGTGGCTATAGTTCCACCTAAACAGCTGTGATTAGCAAGCCCTTTAGTAAAACATGCCCTCCAAAATAAGAGAAAAGGCCAATACAGGAAGCTGATGTGGGGAACATCAAGTAACAGCAAAACTGTATTCGTAGTGTCATAGATGACAGTAAAAGCACATCCAGATGGTCTGCTGTGCTCAGGACTTCGTAAGAGTTCTACAGGAGTATTTTAGCTTTATGAGCTTAAAAAACTCAGCTTTATGAGACATTTAAAAAATCAGAAATAATTTTGAAAAGCTCTGACTTTCATTTTTAGTATGGTTTCCTCTGAGGAAACTTTTCCAGTAAGAAAGACACTGCATTTGATGTGCCAGGCAATATTGTTACACCTCTGCTGCCTTAGTATCAGGATATACAGTCAATAATTTCATACTGGGACTCCCAGGGGTTCTTTTTATCAGGATTTACTGAGCCCAGAGATACTTCAGGAACCTACTTTATCTCAGTGCTAGGATCTTGCAAAGCTAAATTTGTCTGAAGTACAGACAAGACATTCCTTCCTCTCCCTCCTTCCTGTCTGTAATCCTCATAAATCTCAGAATGTGCGAATTTACAGCCCAGCAAGTGAGTGCATTTTAGTAGAAATCATGCTAATGAAAGATGTCAAATACCTTTGTGAAGATGTCCATAAAACTGCCACAATGTTGCCCATCAATTTTCACTCACAGCAGTGCAAACTGAGTGCTGCTCTCCCAATCCCAGCAGCACAGGCTCAGTGCTGTCAGTAGGGCTGTGGCAGGGCATACACAGCAGGAGAAGCTGGCTTTAAACGTGACAGGCATGACTCTTGCATTGATTTTGAAGGGGAAGTTTTGACAACTGACTTCAATTAATTTCATCCTTTTTGCATCAGTGATAGTAAATCAGGGTCCAACCAAATACTTTCTAAAACCTCTTTAGTGCTTTACCCAAGAAAAGAGGAATTGAGAACAAAGGTTCAGTCCATCCAGATCTGTCGTGGGAAATAACTAGCTACCCATATTTAGGGAATGAGCATAAAATGATATAGATCTTCTTTTGAAGTACCCTCTCAGCCTCAGGTTTGAGTTGTATATAATTATGACCACGTCCTTCTCTTTGTCTAAAGAAGAAAAAGAGAGGTAACACTAATGTAGAACTGTATCTTTAGAACAATAATTTGAGATGATACAAAGCAGCACACTTTTGATGTCACTATGGCTGGTGCTGGCACTGCCCTTTAATTTCTGTATCTGTAAGGGGCAGGCAAGGATAACCGAAACACTGGTGGAATTTGACTGGTTTTCAGCAAACTCAAAAGCATGGGGCACCAAAGAGATAATTTTGCACATGTATCAGTTTAAAGTTGCCCTGGTTTCTCAATTATTATCTTTGCACAGGTCTTGCTAACGCAGTGTTTAGTGGACGAAGCAGTGCGATATTTTACAGAAGCAATGGAAAAATCAGCAGAGATCTCACCAATATCATATTTGGCTTTCGAACTAGGGACACTGATGTGATACTGCTGTACGCTGAGAAGGAGCCAGAGTTTGTTACCATCAGTATTCACAACTCCAAATTACTCTTTCAGTTACAAAGTGGCAACAGCTTTTATAAGCTGACTCTTGCTAGTTCACTGCCTGTGAGCGATGGAAAATGGCATCAAGTGATGGTCTCCATGGTAGAGCCCCTGTCCACGTTCTCTAGATGGCACATTGATATAGATAACAAGAAAGACATTGCAACTAGCACAACTGCTGCAGGAAGCCTCAACTTTTTAAGAGAAGAGACAGACATCTATGTGGCTGACAAGGCTTTTGACAGTCTGGATGGCCTGCGAGGATGTATGAGCACAATAGAAATCAGTGGCATTTATCTCTCATACTTTGAAAATGCTGACATTCCTACTAAAAAACCTCAAGAGGAGCAATTTCTCAAAATATCTGCAAACCCTGCTCATACTGGCTGTTTGCAGGTAGATGTCTGCAGCTCAGATCCCTGTTTGCATGAGGGGATATGTGAAGACTTCTATACTTCCTACCATTGCATATGTCCCAAAGGATGGACTGGCACCCATTGCGAAGTCAACATTGATGAATGCTCTTCAAACCCCTGCATTCATGGAAACTGCACTGACGGGATTACCTCTTATGAGTGCAGTTGTGAACCTGGTTATACAGGGGTAAATTGTGAAGAGGACATAGACAACTGCCATGGCCACCAGTGTGCAAATGGGGCCACTTGCATTGATGGTATTAATGGATATTCTTGCCTGTGTGCTGGTAACTTCACAGGAAAATTTTGCAGGTACTATAAACAAGGGAGATCCATATGACTTTGTCAGGTGTCTTCTGAATGGTTATTACATCACTCGTCTCCATTTTAAACACAGATGTTATGCATTTATCTACATATCAATCATGGCTTCAGAATTAATATATAAAGAGTCTGCAGTACAGAAAGCTGTACAGATCAATTAGATGTGGACCAAGGCAGTGGAGAGCTGGTAGATCAGGCAAAGACTGATGAGGAAAGGAGACAGGCACAGCTCTGCTACCCATCTCTGCTGCCAGCCTGGGTCCTACGAACTCTCTGATGATAGGATTACAAGTCTGCCAGAGCCCAGAGATAGATAAGTTACAACCTTTTTCAGAAAAAAATATTTTAAAGGTTCTGAGTATCTAAAACTGTATTTTATTAGAGTAATAGAACTCTAGAACTCTAAGTACAGAAATTCAGATTTGGTGGGTAAGAGAAAATAACATGAGGGCTTGTAAGAGTTTATAAAGAAGTTTTTCTCCCCATGACATTATATTTGCTAGGTCAATCTTTTCCTCTAATCTTATTCTCTCAGCCCAGCAGTCCTGGTGGGTGCAGACACCACACAGCCCACTCTTCCCATCACTTCTGAGACTCCTCACATGCCTACTCTTCTCAGACACTCCCCTGTAAAGGCTGCAGGCTCCTCCCCTCCTTTAACTGCCCTTCTCTGCACACCATAAACTTCTGCCTTCTGAGCATGTCCTGTTGCTCTCAGAGAAGGCAAAATCCTTCTCCTTCCTCAAGAGGACTCCAGCAAACTCAGTCTGCTGCATCATGAAGGATGCAAACAGACAATCATCTTCATGCTGGCCAACCACAGTCTTTTAGGCTGTAATTACACAACTGTCAATTTTTGTCGACTTTTTCTGAGTAGTGAGGTCATCTTGAGGTTTGAAGATTCCTGATATTGGCCCAATATGGTCTATCATGTATGGTAAGTCACTTTTTTGAACTCTTCTACCAAGCTGTCCAGGTATCAAATAGAGCCATGTCAGTAATGTAGGTACAGTGTTGTTTTGTTTGTTTAGGGTTTTTTTTGCTAAGAAAGGAATCATTAACTTACCAGTAAATACTTGGAAAAGGAAAACAAATTCATCAAATTAAAAAAGTTAAGCAAAACCTGGTTTGTGAGTCTGACAGTTGCTGCTGTCTTTCCTTTGGATGATATCCTAGCCAGTAACAGCATTGCTCCCCCAGTTCAGTTGCTGCCTACCACTTACCCTGAGCACCCTGAGTACCCCAGGCACCAGGCATGTCAATGCACACAGATGTGGGGTTTCCTTTCCAAAAAGGAAACCAAGGAGGCACTAAGTATGTGCAGCCCCTGAAACTGTGTGTTCATTTACAGCTAAAATGCCATTAGTATTGAATAGTATTTGCAAACAGGAGCACTGCTCCCTCTATTTGGAGACTAACAGTATTCAACTGATTCAAATAATAAATTTGCAAGGTAGATCTGTTTTCCAATAAAGCAGTGAACTAGAGTCAAACGAAAAGCTGAAAGAGCATGAGACATTCAGAAACAAGGAAAGTGAGAATAACTGCCATTGCCTTCTTACTTACCTAGGTACAGAAGATTACCATATACATTTTGTGGGAATGAAGAGAGAAACCTCACATGTTTCAACTATGGCAACTGTACCAATCTCAACGGCGAGTTGACATGTGTTTGCCTGCCGGGCTTTGCTGGAGAACGGTGAGATGCTTTGCCCAGCAGATCTTTGTGGAACAATTCTTCCAAAAAGTGTTCCAGAAGGGTCCAGAGGGTAACAGCCACAAGGGTTTTGCCCTCCTTCAAAAATACAGACAAAGCAGCTGTTTAAGTTCAGCAGTTCCTTGCTTGAGTGACTTTGAGGTTCTGAAAGTATAGCAGTTTTACTTAGACAAAATTGACAAATTAATGCAGCAAGATTCAATCCAATATAGCACCAGTGCAAGATATTATTTGTACACTTGCTTCTATGTACCTGTTTTTTGGCGTCCATGCCAATTTTATACGTGACAAGCTAGAATGTTATCTTTCCATTGGTGGGGACAAATAAACACATATATCCTGCTCATATATATATGAAAATCAGCTACAATACACAGACACATGAATATGCAAAGCTGTTTAATTTTCACATGTATATGTTGTGATTATGCAATCTATTCTTTCATAGGGATGGTATGAGATGAAATACCTGGTGCTATTGCAGCTTGTTACTTTCTTACTAAATGTTGAAGTATGAAAACAGAATTATTATTTTTAAATGAAGTTAAGAAATAATTTTTACATGTTATAATTTAGTCTGAAACAGACGAGCCTTCCTCACAGTGAAATTTGTTTCTTGTATCATATTGTTGCAATTCACACTTAACATTTGATAATGTTCCACAAACAGCTCTGGAGCAGGGGAGGCCTGACAGCCTCAGGTTATTAGGTGGTGTAGAAATGTAGGAAGACATTGTCCCAGCCATAATATAATCTGAACAGGTAAGAACATCTTTCTGGGTAGTGAGAAAGGAAACACCATATGTGCTCATAGTGAAATTAGCATTACATCAGAGCACAATACCCAAAAGTTCAACAGGACCAAGCTATGCTGGCTCTGCAAACACCAAATTTTCAACAAAAGGTTTTCATTCTTTCAAAAAACTTATTAACCCCTTGATTTTATGGAAATAATACAGTAAGTGATAAAAGACAGATGAAATTAAAATTTCCACCCACTTAGTGCACAGTATAGTTGGCAGACATGTCTGCATTGTACTGTTTAACTCAGCTGGACCTCGCAGTATTAAAATAAAAGGTGAAAAAATAAAATAAAATATAAAAAAGTAAAAGCATATTAGACACTTCTTTGGTGTGTATATTTCTTGGGACTTCAAGGTAGAAGGAAAGTACTTTTTCCTTCTTTCTTCCTCTGCCAGCCAACTTGCTAACTACAGCTTTGGGAATGAGCTTTCCTTAAAACCATCCCACTGGCTGGCAGTAATCTCTGTTTTATGGTTCCCATGATTCTCGTATTGAACAGTAGCCTTGTACCAAGTATGCTGTGCTTTAACTGTCTATCACAGCAAGGCATTCCTCTCCAAAATCTAAAATTGACTATTGGTCCTCTTTTCCTCCAGGCTCTCAAACCATAAACCAGTAGTACTTCCATGCTTGCAGATCTTAATATACCAAATGAGAAAATTTCACTCCTTTTTCAGAACAAATTCAAATATATCAGTTAATAAGAAAATTAAACCCAAACCCCTCTGTATATTTATGCATTAGATTGATAAAGCAGTCGTTTTCCTTTAAGATGATATTTCATCCCTCAGAAAGCCATTGGTGCACAGTGTAGAGAAAATAATCTTTCTATGTCAATCAATTGACCTGGGATCACAAAAAAAGCCCAATGAACTTAATAATTAGTGGAAAGGGAAATGTGTAAAGATTGCTCTGCATAAAAGAACATATAGCTGTCTCTTGAAAACAAATTTTTCGCTCAATTCAGGCTGGTATTTTAAAAATTACCTAAGGGAGTTAGGTTTTTAAGTGTTCATGAAACTCAGTTGGATTCCAGTGCCTAATTCCCTGGCAGATTCGGGGGTTGGGGTGTTTTTCTTTTCACAGATAAGTTTGTATCTATACAATTTTTACACATTGGATAAATACTTTAATTTAGCTTTTTAAAGTGTATAATTTACCACCGAGGGAAACTGTTGAAACATTTTTAGAGATTAATAAAGAAATTCAGATAGAAGTGTTTAATATAAAGAACTGCTCTTCTCTAATGTAACATGAAAAATTTATTGCATGGTTATGAATATGATTCAATAAAGAAATTCCTTATAATTCAGAGGGAGTTTCTTACATTCTTCTTCAAGAATAAACCTGGGTTTTTATCTGGAAAAATTAGGATTAACTGTAAGCATTATTTGAAAAAAAGGAGCAGGGAATTAAAAGGGAACACTGTCAGAGCAGAAAAATAATGAAATAGTGACTAGTTTTCTGACAATCTCACACATTCCTCATTAATGTTCAATTGGTTAACTTGAGAAATTATGAGAACTCAAATTTCCTTTATTACCAGAATTAACTCAAAAACATTTAATGACATTAATAACTCAAAAACATTTAATGACACATATCTAGGTTTCTTCTGCATCATATCTAGCCCTGTTCTGCATCATTGTTACCATTCTCAGGGCCCATATAGGGAGAATGGATAGGATATTCTGCTAAGATCTATTGGCATTTCAAATTGAGGGGAAAAAAAAAAAAAAAAAAGCAGGTGAATATTCCCAGGAGCAGCCAGCTGGGAAAAACATGCATTTGACTTACATTCAAACTACTGAGAAGGAAAATGTGCCCTCAGATCCCTGGAACAATGAAAATGGATCAGCAAGCTGTCAGCAGGACTTGCAACAGTCTAGTTCTAAAATCATACAAAAACTTTCATTTCACATTGCTAAGCACCATTAACCATGAAATGCTTTACAGAGATTAAATTTCCAGTTTAACTATCTGTGTTTGGAAATAATACAGGAAGTTCAGGATTTGAGTGTGACTAATCAGGTAGTTAATAAAATCATAAACGTGTAGAAATATACCACAGATTTCAAATATAGCCTCCTCTTCTCCCATCCCCTAAAGCTTATGAATTAAAAATGTGCCTATTTGATGCATTTGGTTTGTGATTTCAGATGCTCACTATCTGCAGTCTTTCCCTAGGTGTGAAAAGGACATCGACGAGTGCAGCTCTGACCCGTGTCTGAATGGGGGCCTCTGCCAGAACCTACTCAACAAGTTCCACTGCCTCTGCGACATGAACTATGCTGGAGACCGCTGTGAAATAGATGTAAGCGACCTCTCCTTTTTTGTCTCTTTACTGTTGTGGCAGAATCTCTTTCAGCTTCTCTCCTATCTTATTCTACGGATGGATGATGATCCAGCAGTGGAATGGGGTGAACAGGAAGACTAAGCAGTCTTTAAATTTTTGTATTTTAATGCAGCAGAAGATGCCTTGACCAAACAGCTTAGCAAAGCAATACAAACATTAGAGTTTTAAAACTTGTTTTATAATTCTTTGAACAATTTTCTATGAGTCACTTTGGATCTGGATTAGTTCTTTCACTTGATTTTAGAACAAATGCTAGCAGGTCTTAAAAGGTGTTTCATCCCACCTCAGCCTGAGTTTCACTGCATACACTCTGCCACTGGGCACAGGGGGACACACCAACAGGCAATACATATTAATGAGAACTATAAGATTTATTGATGGTGGCATTCAAACCCTACTGTAATGAGTGGCAAAGACCCACTGCCTTCAATAAGGCTAATCTTACCATTAAACCTTACAGATGATCACTATCTTTGCATCACATACCATGTTTATTGCTGTTTCTTTGGCAGTTAGGTCTCACGTGTGAAATCATGTAGGATATTTTTTGATAATTAGGTAATGGTTTGGGTTAGCAATTGGCAATGTACTGAGGACACTCACATCCATTTAAATTAGTGGCAATCCTGCACTGATATCACTAATCCTGAACCTCTGCTCTGGTAGCCTGTACACCTCAAATATATTATACTGAGATAAAGTACAGCCGTCTTAATCTTCATCGTGATTATTCTTTCAAGAAAGGCCCATTAAGTACATCAGGCTTTAAAATCATAGATTTGTTGTTTATTCAAAGATTTCTACAACTTTAAATAAATCTATGTTATTTATTTATTTATCAATAGATATGAGTGTCATCAGACAGAAATATGGGAATTTTCCTTCTTAAGAAACAATCAAGGTAATTCAGTTGGTTGGTTGTCCATGGATTCTTTAAAGAATAAAAATAAGGGGCCTAAATATTATGAATACAGGGAGGTTTAGCAAAAAATACTATAGCAAAATATCTGTGTAACTGCCTTTGAGAGTGTAGACACAACTGAAATACATTGTTAAAACAGTAGTGAAAAGTAAGCTTTTGGTTTTTTGAACAGTTCTTTAAGGCAAAACCTGTTTATGATATGGTGACCCATTTCTCTGGGCATTCATTATCATACCTGTATAGATTCTGTACTCCTCTTAATCATTTAAATAGTGTCCTTGAGTCAAAAATATTCAAAAGAATAAGCGTGTATAAGGTGGTGTTTTATTATTAAGTGATATGGCATGTAGCAGAGTTATAGGAAAGACTAACACTATACAATGAGGTTTTATGACTCCAGAGAGAACAGCTGATCTACTGCAGAAGTCCTTGAGCTCACTGATAATTCGTTTCCCCCACTTCAAACCTGACCCTGTTTCTTCAGTCCTATCCAAACTGCTGTGGATTGGACTTGGAGTGTTCATGAAGAGCAAATCCCACCTTTAATTCTACAGCTGCATTAAGACACCTTAAAATGTGTATAAGTGAGATGGTAAGGTTACTGTTTTGCCATGGCAGGATATAGCAGAAGTCATTGCCTGAGGATCGAGCCTCTATTTTTTATTTCCCACCTTTTATAAATGTCCAAAAGTCTGTTATTTTTATGAATACCTTTCAGAGCATAATTGCAGCAACACTCATGTTATTAAAAAGTCTACTCCTATTTTCAGGGAAAAAAAAAAAACAAACAAACACAAACCCCCCCACATTTTCTGCACATTTGTGGAAAAAACATGATTCATGTCTGTGATATGCCACATATTCCTGTCTCAAGCACCTGCCTTAGTATGAAAACTTAAGCACAACATATTTACTTATAATAATTATAGTACACAAGGATGATTTCTTTGCTGTCTTTATCATACTAGAAGAGTGATTTGGGTAATTTTCTTGTTAATGTCTTATTTTACTTTTTTTTTTTTTTAAAATCATTCAGATAAAACATCCTTTCCTCTTTGTAAACAATCAGTAAACACAAGATGGGAATGCATGTTCCAGCACTGGGGTTGAAATTAATGTATGAGTGTCAGAAACAAAACTATATATTCTGTCATAGGTAGGGCTTAGTTATCTTACTTCCTGGGAATCATGTGTACTATTTTGAATTATATAACACAGGCAAAGACAACAAACCAAAACCATTTTGGGGTTTTTTTCAGTGGAAATATAGTTTTGGAAAATTGTTTTTTACTCCAGATAAAATGATCAAACCTACAATGTCAGAGAAAAAGAGGGTGTTTTTTAATCAAAATATTTCTATGTGAAAGGTTTGCATTTTGGTTTAAAATATCAAAGACAAAGTAAAAATTAAAACATTCACCTTGTTTTGAGTTAAAATGTCTTTCATAGGAAGAAGTTTAAAATAATAAACAACATGTTGGAAATATTATTCCAAACTCTATCTTTCATTTAATCATAGCTCAAAATGTTACTTGGTTCAGTATTATTGAAATGAAAAATGAAAAATTTGAATACAAATAACTTGAAATTAAAACTATCATATAATTTCAGAATGCTAACTAAAAGCAGATAAATAATAAATTTTGAAAATTCATATGAAAAAAATGATGCTACTAACCAAAGTTGTTAAAACCAAGTTTGTTTCTTTTAAAATTAAAGTTTAAAAAATTACAATAAAGTTTTGGATTTTTTTTCCTTACTGGGTTTAATTCAGCTCCCACATAAGTAAATTGAACTGTTATGTACATTATAGAATATACACTACAGGATATACTACAATTAATCATGGTATTAGTGTTGAAGAAAGCTAGAAAACAATATATGTAATAATGTCTGACATACTGTATCTATATGCATAGTATGAAAAAAAGAATATATCTGTATTGAGATTCCAAAACTCTTTCTCTTCAAGACTAGAAACTTGATATGAGTGCATACAATATTAAATAGAGGTTTTATATGGATTTACAGCAGTATGCAAGTTACTCATCTAGAATATATTAGCAGAGCATCAGTTCATTCTTTCTTTTACTGAATTTACACCTCTAATTGAATTCTCCCCTTCTGCTAATGCCTTGTCATCATGAAACATCCCCTGAATCCGAAATGCTTCTCCTTTCCTCTTTGTACTTCTGTATTCTCAACTACATTGTGCATGTGTACATAACTTTCCTACCTTTATACATAAAATAAACCTTCTGCCTTTGTCTCTTTATGTCTGCTCCTCATTTTCTGCTAATGACTATTCATTTGCTTTAAGTGTGCCACATTTTCTGAACATTTGCACTTCACAGGTACACCACACAAACGCTCTCCAGGAGCACGGGCAGCGCAGGGCCAGGTGGGTGCTTGCCAATGAAGCAGTTCAACCTCTCCCACCACCTCAGCTGCAATACTGTGTTACCCACCAAGGTGACTACTTCTGCTGGGCAGCCCTTGGTACCTTACAGAGCACAAGAAATAAACAAGCCCCCAGACCAGCAATTCAGAGAGGAAGGGATTTTATCTGTATGGCTTAGTGACTCTTATTACTTGGTTCCTCCTTACATACTGTCAATACCTAGAAAATTGTTGAGCATTACAAGGTCTCTGTTTACATTTTGATGGGTCATCCCTTTCCATTGAGCTATCATAGCCCATAGGCTGGACCTGTCCCACACACAGGTCTTCCAACACACCCAGTGAAGAGCTGACATTTCTAGATTAAGAGATATTGCTAGTTTAAAAGGGTTTTTTTTAAAAAAACAGATTAATTAAAATAACTTTCTTGAATATATGTTTCTTAAAAGAAATGCAGATGTAGGATATTTAAAGGGAAACAGTTATAGAAGCAAACACAAAAAACCAGCTGAACAGCTGGATAATTAATGACACTAAGCATTATGTAAATAGATCCAATTGCTAAGGTTTTTTATAATTCAAGGGATTGAAAAGGCTTTAAGATTAAGGTGTAACAGCAAGATCTTCATACACCTCCAATGTTGCAATTTTATTGCAAAACTTTTGATACTTGATTTTTTATTCAGAACACAAACTCCAAGACAAGTTCATGCTTTTGTGAAAATCTCAGTATCCATTTAAAAAAAAAAAAAAAAGTCAAGAAAAAAGCATCATACCACTTCAGGTGTTGAGAAGAACTTGAAAAACCATCATCTCAATATGCTCAGAATTAGAGGAGGAATACCAGACATGCAAATGAAAGAAAGCAAACAAGCAAGGTTATGATTTCTGGAGGTATGGCTTGTGATGCTGAATACTGATATTATCTGTAATGGATCACTCTAGTTTGATACTGAGATTCAAATTGTTTTTCAGATGCCAGTGACTGTCATTCAGAAATACGGGTAATGAGAAGTAACAGTGTTAGGGCTTAAGAAAGAATTAAGATTTCTGAAAAGAGGGAAAAGACGGCAGTTGTGGGGGTACTGGAAGGCAGAGTAAAGGGATTTGCATCATCTGTGGAATGAATGAAAGTGGGTTTTTAATGTGTTTGGCAAATACATGAGAGGTATTTCATCTTGGAAGTATAAACAGGGAATGATGGATTTGCTTTGTTGATCATAGTTCCTACTTCTGACCCTTAAGAAACAGGCTCTGACTGACCCTCTTCTGCAGGTTCTCTAATACAATCCGGACTCTGCCAGCAGTATCCTATTACAATTTTAACTACAAAGAGCCATGTGCTTGTGAATTTGAAAATATCTTTGACGTTGTATGCTTATTTGGATTCTCTTACTCCCAATACATTTAATTTTTAAGAAACTAGATTGAATACTTGATTTACTAGGTGCATGTGACTACAGTATGTTGGTGAAACTAAAAATAAATTTTAAAAAACCCTGCTTCAGCCTGGAAGTGATGAAATTAGGTTTCGTTCTTTCATTGCAAATATTTTTCCAGGCCTGACAGCCAAAAGTTCAGTTGAGAGTGCACTTGTATGCCCCTCACTACAAAAAGGACATTGAGTGACTCGAGC